CGTGAACAACAGTAGGTGGAAGATGGAGAAGCTGTCGGTATATGAACTGAATATCATGGGGTGTAGTTTATATCAGCAAACATCCCGGCGCCTTTGCAACCGCTTTTGTAGGTCTGTCCCTGATCCTAAACGAGCGGAGTGGTCGTCACGATGTAAAGGAAGACCTGGGGGTGAGAATCGACCTGGTCAGAACAGAGATGGCGACCAAAACAGACCTTAAAGCCATCCGGACCGAGATGGCGACCAAAACCGATCTTCAGGCTGTTGGAAATGAGGTGGCCCATACGCAGGCGATTGCCCTCGGGTCGGCCTATGCAATGATGAAGGCTGTCTCCGGAGAGCGAAAGATGATGACAACCTGGATGCGAGATATCGAGAACTGTGTCACTCTTGGTGGAAAATCATGTGATGCGATAAAGGGGATCGGAACGGTATATGGGAGTGGGGGCAAGAACCGCTAAATAATTTTATTTTCGGCAAGGTAATCACAATTATAGATCTGGAGAATATATAACTAATTGAGGTTCTCTTACTAGTGGATCGTACATGCGGGATGGGGTGTCATGGGGCGTGGCTACGGATGTGTTATTGTACGGCAGTTTTTTATATTATGATTACGGCATTGCCTTGTGAGCTGTTAGTGGGCTATTTGCAGGGGGGGGCCACGCCTGGGCTGGGGGGAGGGATTGTGGAGAAGATTTCTATTTGTAAGAGATTTCTATCTTCCAATTTGTTATCCCCACACCCTTCGGTTCTTACCTTCATATCTCACCACATCAACCACATTTCCTGACCCATTCGTACGGGTGACAAGACAACTATCCTTCCCCCTACAAGAAAAAAAGGGAAAAAGAGGACAAACATCCCGCTTAAAAACGGGGCCTTTGGAATCTACCTCACTAGTCCTCGTGGAGCCGGCACCTTCCGAAAAAATCACTGACCGAATACTCATTTGCAGGATTATTGCCGCAGCGGAATCCCCCCCGCAAATTCAGGTTTAGCAGCCCAGGAAGGTTCGAAAAGGGGTTGAATGAAGTTGATGAGGGATCTTCTAATGGCAACGCTGAAGGGGGAGGGTGTGCACTTGTCGGAGGCGGCAATGGAGATGCTGGTGAGGACTTCCAAGTCCTTCCAGGCAACTAGCCATTCATGTCGATGAGAGGCCTTCCGGTCCAGCTTCTTTGGACATTGGAGGATACTTAGGGCACTCGTCATGGCTTTTTAGAAGAGGGAAAAGGAGAATATGAAGTGAATCTCCTAGAATGTTAAGACTCCGGCAATGAAACGCTCACCGTCTCACTTGGTAATCGGGGCTTCCTGACTAAGCTTCACGACACCGAGACTGAATCCCTCGTTTTGTTAGAAGAAGTATCGTGCGCAGCTGCACAGGCAGTTTGACAGTGATCTGGATAGAAGGGAGCGAGGTTGGATGGTGCGGGTGTAGGAGGTAGTGGTGAAGAGACTGGCGGGGTGTGGGTGGAGGAACAATGTAGGGGATCAGGACGCTGCGAGGTCTACCCCTGGTCTTGATGGGATTCTAAAAAGTACTACAAGCTTGTCACACGGGGTTCCAGAGTGGTTGCGGCTTGAGTAGTTGGCCGTAGTGAGATCTGCGGACAGGAAATAGGATTGCTGGCAATTTGGTATACCTCCGAGTCCCACTCCCCGTCTGTTCAGCATCAAGCGATTACTAGGTCGCCAGTCAATGACATTAACTGATCGCCCCCCTCTCTCCACAAGCCCTAACTCAACCTTCCGCCTACACTACACAAACGGTACTACGGACCCTCCCCCGCCAGATCGTGACCCCTGCACAACATCCCTACATGAACAGCCCACTTCCACCTATCCGGGACAAGGGAAATCGCCGCTGGCAGGCGGAAATATCTCCACCTCCTATTGACAGCCACAATCCGAAACGCAACTCAGATATAAGATTCCACTAAGCCGGAGGGGTCAAGAGAGACCTTCCACATCTCACTGGATGGAGAAGTCATGGCTCTCACCGTCAGTCGTGGATTTATCGACCTCCTGAACGCTACATGCTACTGAGTCTATGCGACAAGGCTCGAAGGCTGGGTCGGAGAACAATCCGGGCGGGGTGACAGGGGATAAGGTATAATAGGCAGGGTATGAGAAATTGACGCTCCGCCAGAAAAGGTGGTCGCACACTGGAAAGACGAGGGCTGACGCACAACCAGGGTCCTCAAAAATAGTGGGACCTAGTGGATCGCCACCAGTGGTCAGAACAGGATTCTAAATATCTGATCGTACTAGGAGCTTCGGTGACAGTGGGAATGCACTGGTTTAGAAAGCAGCTTCTACGCTACGCGTTTCTTGGTCCATTGGGGCTATTCCAATAGGGGTAACCGGTCTTGGCGCAGGGACACAGGTATGCGAGAGTTCAACCACTGCCAAGCCACAGGGTGTGGTTGTGACTTACATTTAGGTATATAGGGTACGGTACTTGTTCTGCGTTAGTATGATATCATATCATACCTTTTCAAGACCGGGAATGAGCTAAACCTAGGGCATAATAGGGCCAGATTTCCTTCCCCTCAAGGACAGGAAACCAAATCTATTCATCAAGAAGCAACATGGTGCAGAGGAAGCGCGCCGCGCTCATAACCCGGAGGACACACATCGAGATGTGCTGTTGCCAAGACATATTTTTTGTTTTTAGCGACAGAATAGGTGGTGGTTCAAATCGGCGGGTGCGAGTTTGTTTTTATCGTTATTTCTCGGCTCCCTTTCCTCGATGGTAGAAACAAAAAACCCCCGAAAAAAGTACGAACGGTTGAACGAGGTCTCCCATGTAACTTGCTGTAGAAAACATTTAAACTAGAAACAACAGTTATCATGAATTGGGATGAGCAGTTCCTTGGCGTCTGAGATCAGCGGAAAATCAATTATACATGCAACCCAAATTAACGTTTTTCCACCATCCACCACAGCCCTGCCATTCTTTCTCCCTTTCCCAAACTGTTCCTGCATCTACATGTGTACCTCACCTACGCACGCACAAATGCAGACATAGAAAAAAAGCACAAAATATAAGAAAACGCACAGACCAGCGCTGAATTTGACCAACCCATCTGTTACAGTTAGAAGATTTTATTTCTGCTGAAAACCCCCAACCCGGCCACTGAAACCCCCAACTTCTCATGATAAATTCGAAATCTGCCCTGCTTTACCACTCTATCATTCCAAATCCCCTTTGCAACCGGCCAACCTTCCTACCCGAGCATAGTGAGAGATGTCCAGAGGTGGGCACGGCGGTATTTCCAGCGGTGGTAAATTTGGCGGAGGAGTAGGAGAAGGCATGGGCGGTCCGTTCGGTCATGACCCGGATAATCCACCGGACTACAGTACCACCAGGCTCTTTGGCGTATCTCCCCCCTCTGTACCTACCTCTCCAGCACATGCAATGGCCAACTGACTGAACCAAAGCAGCCACAATCGCCACCGTTCCAAATCCCTTGAGTAAGGAGGGATGCCACATAGCAGTGCGCTACCGCCTGTATCATGGCAGAAGCTATAATGGCTAGCTATACATGGCTATTGGCAAGGGGCGTGGTGTGGAGGACCCGTTCAACGACGTGAGCAAGTATCCAGCAAATATAAGCGGCAGAAGCGCAGGGTGCCCAAGTCGGATTCTTGGCCGTACATTAAGGAGTTCTTCCCCGTGGAGCTGTGGGACACATTGGGGATAGATGGTGATGGCAATGGGGAGGATGGTGGAGGTAAAGAGAATATTGGAAGGAGAAAAAGCTGATTTTTTGGCACTCGATGTTTTTGGTGGGTTGGATGAGGAGGATGAGGGGGGTGAGGATGATGGGGGGGCGAGGGTCGAGAGGCTGTTGGGATGGGGAAGAAGGGGGTCCTGCAAAAGTTGCAGAACGAGGATCTCGGCGACGATGATGGTGACGATGACAGTGGGGTAGCGGAGGAAGAGGAGGAGGCGAAGGATAATTTTAGCGATGATGAAGTGGGGAACTATAATGCTGGGGTGTACTTTAAGGATGGGGAGGATGATGGTGGGGATGATTGGGGGGACGAAGGGGGTGGTAAGGACTATCACTAGACAGATGAACAGTGCAACTACGAAAAGTGTCTTTGATTTCTCTGTTCTATCGATATCTATTTCAACCACTCAGTCTAAATGTTTTCCTTTTTCTTTCTTTTCCTTTTTCTAGTTTTTTTTTTCATTTTTTTCAGATCTCGGGGCAAATGGCACCTTGTGATGCTTTGAGCCACTCAGACTAAGGAAGAGAAAAGAAAACAAAAACCAATTTGGGCCTATATTTCGGCCGAGTTCTCTAGCAGGCCCCCACGCCTCCCGCTGATGGGATTCCCAAACTCGAAGTGTCACCTCATCAAGTGTGTATTGGCAGCAAGCTCTCACTTATCACTGACCTCCTTCAATAGGCGTTCTGCGGTATCATCGTTCGTCTCTTTGTTAGCACTTTGATCTGGATTAGATTTCCAATCCATCCTCTTGTCATCTTCCCTCCTAACCCATAGTTTCTCGGTGGCGCCTCCTGTTCTAAAATCTCCCTCATTGACTTCCCACCATCGCAAAACCTAATAATGTTCAAGGCTCTTTTGAACTCTGATCGAACCCTGTCTACTCCGGTGGGATAGCAGGTCCTGCCCACATTGTGGCTGATTTCGAAAGGGTCCTCGATGGCAAACAAGTATCCATCTTTTATCTGAGTATGCCCGCTCCTCCACGGCCTAGCAACAGCCGTAACCCAACCCTTACCTTACTTACTAAATATGCCGCGTTGGGTCGGGATGGAGATGACCTCTCTTCCCCATTGGAACCTATGTGAATAGTATTCGAAGAAGCTATGTAGGAGCTGGTCGACATGCATTTGGTTCCTGGTCCTGGGAAGATTTTCGATATCTTCAGCATACCAAACATAATGCTCTCCTTCGTCACCCTCACCAAATGCCTGGTCAGGCGGTGCGTCTTCGGGGATCGTGGTATGCTGCGGATTCATCAAAACATGGGGGCCAACCACTTTGATCAGAAAATGGATGATCATGAGAACGTGACCGTAAGAAAAAAGGGCACCACGGTATGGGTTATTAATGTGTCTTCTCGGCCCACCACTGGCATGTGATAGTGTCAAGTTCACAAAATTCTGAATTGCCAAGGGGATTGCGAGGCCAGAATTCAGGTGAAAGCGTAAATACCTTTATGAAAACAACCATTTGCTTCACTCTTGCATCGCATCGACTATGTATTTGCAGCGTCCTAGTATTATCCACTCTCAGGTAATTATTAAACCCGATGTCGCAACTCAAGTCAATTGAGTTCTCATGTGTAGCCTTCAGTGCAAGCTTCATTATAGGTACACGGGTCTTTAAGAGTAGCGTAACCTCGAACCCCACAGACTGAAATTCTTTCGCCAGATTATGTAGAAGAGAATTGGATTCGTCACTCTTGTCAGGGGTGCAGAAAAAGTCCTCCAGATAGGGAGACACGAGAACGACATCGAGATCAGACTTAGTAATCTCGAATCCAGCTATGGTACTGTGGAGGGAAAAATCTGTTTGTTTTCTTTTGTTTGAAACCTGAGCTTGATTCTGTAATTGTGGTTAGGCTTTTTTGTTTCTTTTTGTTAGGGTTTGATTGTAACTGGCCATGGTGGTATGCTGTGGACCAGAGAGGACCTACAGGGATTTTTTTCCTTCCTCCCTCTTTGGACAAGAGGTGAACCCAACGAACGAGCTGTGGAGAGGAACTTGTGAAAACAACAACGAAAAGGGTCAACGATGGACACGATAACCTGTACCTACATTTGATATTTTCTTCTTTGGTTGTTCTTTTGGTTCTTCATATCAATTGATCTACACAAACCTAATTTCGGAAAACTGTTGCATGTGAGAAGGCTGGACTTGCCTCTGTGATTTGTAAGTGAGTGAAGCTTACCCATTTGAGTGTTTGGTTGTCCAACTCACGTTTGTCCTTTTTCATTGGTGCTCTGAAACGGATTTCTTCTGGTTGCTACATCAGAGAAGACCTTGTCTTAATCTTGTCTTTTGTATTTGCTTTACATTTTTCTACTGATTTTTCTTTGCAGTCATCCTGGACGGGAACCTTAATACACCAGCAAACTTCAGCCGTGCTATTGACTACAAGGAGCAACTTGATCAGCGTTTTCGAGAGCTAGCTCACTGGTATTTTTCACCAGAATCATCATCAGTCTTTTCATATCCGACGAAATCCTTTACTGCACTGCAACCTGAGAGTACTGTTCAGATCTCCAGAGACATGTCTGCCTTCATAAAAATTACACCTTTCAATGGAGGCAATGGAGATGGGAGTGAAAGTGTAGATGAATATTTGGATGATGTTGAAACAGCAGCCTTATCCTGGGATTTGACTATTAGTCCAGGAACTATAGAGGCAAGTGATAAATCCAAGATCCGTCTTTTCCATCAAAATCTTGAGAGTGATGGAGACGCATGGCACTGATGGTACAATGTACTTGGTGAAGGGACTAAGAAGAGTTATGCAAAAATTGTGGAGGAGTTTAGAGAGCAGTGTGGTATTAAGGCATCTGAAGCTTTCTCTCTTTTTGCAGTTCAGAATGAGATGCTGCCACTTGCACAGGGAGAAGCAGAACATATCCGCGACTATGTTTACCGAGTCGAAAAGTTATCCAGAAAGGTTCCTAAAGAAATAGACTCCTTGTTTGCTATTGCTTTCATCAAGGGTATGAAAGACCAAGACAGAAGGCAGAGAGTGACCTTCGATCTCAAAGGTAATCCCAATTTCCCCTTTCCCAAGGCTTTATCTGTTGTGAAATTCTCCTTCCAGGAAATTGGTGAACCGGATCCTTTTCGACCGCAATCAAAGCCAAAAGAACCTGAGGCTTCCGTTCTTTATGCAACTCCTGGGATGCCACAAGTCAATGCAGTTACCAAAACTGAGGTTGCTATTCAGCCACTACAGCCAGTGATGACACAGGAACAATTCAACCAGTTTATGGCTTCCTACGAGGCAAGTATGGGAAGAGGACCTAGGATTGGTTCAAGTGGATAACCTGGTCGGCGTCCAAACATAAGAGTTACCTGTTTGGATTGTGGTCAACGAGGCCACTATGCAGATGTTTGCAATAATCCACCAATTTCAGTTCATAAACAACAGCAAATATGGGACAATATTCGATGTGAGCGAGAAATGCAAAGTCAAGATTATAGAGGGATGGACTGTAACGGGGGCTCCCTCAGGTAGATGGCTCCTAAGGATGCGACTGTACGAAACTTGAAATCTCTCAAACACAGCTCTTGCAAAAGTGTAAAGAATAAAAGTAAACAGTAAAACTTAATATCGTTAAGCTCAGGCTTATCTCAATTAAAGTCTCTCGAGAGGATGTTGATTGTGTCAGGGTAGGAGAGTTCTCGTATAATCTTTAAGTAGTCAGACTTATACCAAAAACTCCTCCATCAGGTTACGCCGACCAACATGAGCATGCCCTTCTCCGTAAGGGTTGCCCCGGCACCATTACCGTGTCCCCAATGGGCTAAGGTGTCAGCGCACTCTAGGAGAATTCTCCTATATGCACATCTGTTCCTGCGAGGTGTTTACTAACACACCTGCCGGAGTAAAAACCTCTGCGCATCGGTGTCTCGTCAGTGGCTAACTGTCGAGACCCTAGGAAAGCTAACTAATTGACTCTCTTCCCATATGCTATGACCTATGCAAGCACTTGTAGACATCAACTGTCTTCCGGCTAAGTTCTATCTTTCTTGATTGCGAACTTAGGGGGTCTACGACGCTCCCCCGGAGAGCTGTATCGGCGGCGGGACCCATAGGCGCTACCCATGGTCCCTTACGCCCGGCACACCACTCACCATGATAAGTGTCATGCTATTAGAGTCTTCAAACAACCCACAAACAGCCTATGGCAAAGGGGTACGTGTAGGCTTGATTGGCGTAAAACCTTCCCAGATGTCTCCGGCACTACCCAGGACTACTCTGGGGACCCTTCCGGATAGCTCACGCTAACTCCGTCAGTTTTGGTCCGTTTTACTCCCTTCTTTTTGGAGAAGGTACTTGACCTTCTCACCTTGGCCCCCTTATATATCCTGCAAACAGCCTCCGGTCGCACGGACGGCGACGATGCATACAGTGTTATGGACATGTCTTCATAGATTCCATTTAACTAGCATAACGGCAACTCCACCCGCTTTGGCCCATGATGCCCGGGGCAAACCCTGGGGCCGCAGGTACCTGTTAGGAATAATTCTACCAAGTTACAGCTTGTTCGGAGCACTATAGCTCCTTCCGTAGTCTTCCGATCAAAGTGCAATCAAGTGCCCGTTGATCATCATTGCATAACAAACAATTCTAACATTTCCCGGAATTCCTCCAAGAACATTTCCGACGGAAGGTAGGGTAATAGTGTCGCAAAGGTAGGGTAAGTAAGTCCACGGTGACATGAAGCCAGGCTCCATGGTAGGGTAACGTGACTTCCCTAGGTAGGGTAAACTCACCCGGCCTTCTGACCTATCCATAGGCCATAGCGGACATTGTCACGTTATTACCACTACTTATGTACACCTATTCCTTAATTACCTTCTGTTCTTAGAGATTTCCCGACCATCAGATATCTCTCGGATATGCGCCTGCATATCCGCCTTGTCTACCATCTGACCTCTTGGTCCTATGTATGGGCGTAGACGTAGGTTACCATAGCTCTGTATCGTAGGGTCGTTAAATGGACAGGCAATCTACAATTCCACTATCAGGTGCTAACGCTGTTGAGGTCATTCCAAGGGCGATTGTACCTCATGAGACAATGGCTAAGCAGGTGAGTTCATCAGCTCTGTCTCCTGCTGTGTCTTGTGTTCGTTCTTGTTCTGTTGGAAGAAATGATTTGGGGAAAGTTTGCGAATTGCTTGCAAGAATCCCAGCAGTTAGAACAATTTTCGAAAATGCATTGGCCGAAAAGAGAGCAAAAGTCGATGAGGATGAAGAAGAAGGCAGGACTATGCAAAGTGCTCCTAAGTTGCAAAAGAGAGTTGTGGATGTTGTCACAAACTGTGACTAAGCAAGGTAGATTTCACATAGCTCGGACTTCCGAGCTATAGGAATGTTGGGATTTCACATGACGCACACCAGTGTGCCATAGGTTATTATGTTTACCTGTTCGTGACTCACAGTTGTGAGTCACACGATGTTATGATTTTCACACATGACTCATACTTATGAGTCATGGGTTTCACTCAGGTGACGTGAGTTGCGCACCTGACTTGGTTATTATGTTTTGATTGGTTTCAGGCATGTTGCGCAGCGCCTCATAAGAGTCGTCTGATGGATTTAATATGACTCATGGTTATGAGTCACAGGGTTCGCGTGACAAGAGGGGTGAGTCACGCCAGGTGAAGAGCGACTATATAAAGGGTCACTAGTACCCCGAGTATTAGCTCTTCACACGTTCTTCTAGTTTATTTCCTACCTTTAAGTTATTATCAATAAAACCTACCTTTATGCTCTTTAAGATTTATCTTAAGAAACCCGAGCAGTGTCTTTCCTCCCACGAGAAGAGATTAAAGTCCTAGGCGAGGACTAAGGAGAAGAACAAGGAGATAGGCACGAGTACAATAGTAGTCCAGGGACTAGACTATCGTGTTCGCGTAGGCATAGGCCTAAGAGCTATCACCTTACAGAGAAGTATCGTTACCTGTCGCTAGGTCCTACCCGGTAGGATTCTTAACAGATGTGGAGGAAATACCACAGTTGAGGAGATCTGGAAGACCAACTAACAATCCTCTAGCCTATGGGCGAAATCAAGCAATTGAAAGAGATTTTGATTTAGAGGTTGCAGAAATGGTTGAACAAGCAAGGCAAGCTGAAGGAGAAGTATTAGAGATGAGAAGGGAGGTACCTGGATCTGAAAGTGTAAGGGTAGCAGCTGATCTTCTAGTTCCCCAAATGAAGAAGCCTAAGGCAAAAACTGTCAATGCACCGATTAACTGGATGGAAGGGCTAAGGCCTTTCACAATAGCTGATGCTCTGGATGGATCTTCTATGAGCATACAGATTACACTTCCTCAACTTCTCAATTGTTCACCACGTCTTCCTCGAGATTTAGCAGCGCTACTCCGATTATCTGTTCCCCGAACCAGAAAGAAGAAGTTTATGCCAAGTTTACAGCCTGTGGCCTCACATGTCTTACAAACTTCCAAATCACAGGAGGGAAGTGAAGTTGTCAGTGAAGCAGCAAACAGTATTGACGAAAATGTGGAGTATTTGTATATTGAGGCCTGGATTGGAAGCAAGCAGATTTCAAATGTGTTGGTTGTTGCTGGTGCTATGTTGGATTTGATATCAACGAGTTTGGTGGATCAGTTAAGTCTCCATCGGCATCCAGTTTCAGGTTTGGGAATGAGATTAGCTGATGACCATCTTGTTGTTTTACAACATTACGTCTGGATTGATGTAGTAGTTGCTGGAGTTCTAGCATGGGTCAAGGCATATGAGGTGGCCGTCTGTAAAACCTATCAGCTCCTAATTTCTCGGAGAT